CTGGGATCAAGCCCCGCATCGGGCTCCCTGGTCAGCGGGAAGCCTGCTTCTCCCTCTCCGATTCCCCTTGCTTGTGTTCCCTCTCTTGCTATGTCTCTCTCTGTCAAATAAATAAATAAAATCTTTAAAAAAAAAAAAAAAAAAGAATTTCAGGCCATATTCTATATGATGTGAATTCAATTATGTTTATATGGGTTTTTTATTTGTTTCTTTCAGGTATAAACATAAATCTTCTAATACATGTCTAGATAGACAAAGAAGAGCATTTGTTGTATTTCTGAGCAGCCAACGATTAACCCAACAACTGTTTAGAACCAAAATTAGTTTATTTTGCATAATTAATCAGGATCTTGGATTTCTTGTTCAAGTAAATTATAACTCTTACAACTCTGAAGTTTAAACAATGACGTTGAATCTAATGAAACAGTAGTAGTATTTGAGTCAGAATTGTAGCTAGTAAGCTTCAAGTCAACTGTGGTATATTGAAATGTATTATACTTTATTATTTTTATATGTCTAATATCCAAGCTTTATATATATATATGTAACTATCTTGATTGCTTCTTTATTTTCTGAAGAAATAAAACTTTATAGAAATAGTTAAATCTTCTTGTATATACTTCCCTAATCTCTTTTTTCTTCCTCCCTTCTTCCCTGGAGGTAACCTTTATCCTGAATTGAAAGTTTATCATTTCATGGATACTTTTTTACTATTCCTAAACAATTTTGTTTTGTATGTTTATAGGCCTTATATATATTATATACTTCAGCTTGCATTTTCATTCAACTTTGTTTTTGAGATGTATCCAAATTTATAGGTCAGGTTCTTTCATTTTAACTACTTTATCAAATACCATTGTATGATAACTGGTATTGTTTTATATACACACACACACACACACACATACATACACATACACACACACACACAAGTTATTATTTGTTTATTTTTCTGGCTCCCCGCTCAACAAGGAGTTTGCTCCTCCTTCTCCCTCTGCCCCCTTCCCTGCTCATGTTCTCTCTTTCTCTCTCTCTCAAATAAATAAATCTTTTTAAAAGTGGGGGAGGGTTATTAAAGTAACAGAAATTAGCAAAATAAGACTCATTTCCGGGCGCCTGGGTGGCTCAGTTGGTTAAGCGACTGCCTTCGGCTCAGGTCATGATCCTGGAGTCCCGGGATCGAGTCCCGCGTCGGGCTCCCTGCTCAGCGGCGGGGCTGCTTTCCCCCCCGCCCATTTCCCTCTCATAACCTCTATACCCCATTCTCTATATCACAAATAAAAAAAAAAAAAAAAAAAAGACTCATTTCCTTAAATCACTAAAGAATAAAAATATTTGTCAACCTAACCTAGATATAATTGAAAATCTCCCAAACGGGTGAAAGACTGTTAGTGTTTTTCAGAAATCAGTGTGCATATAAATTATGTTGGAGTCTAATTAGAACCTGTTAAAGTGCAGTTCCTAATTCAGTAAGACTAGGGTGGGACCTGAGATTCTGCATGTCTGATGAGTTCCCACCTGATGCTGCTGCTGCTATTCCTCAAACTATATTTTGAGTAGCAAGGGTGTACCAGTTAGATTTCCGTTTCCATTTCTCTTGGTACTTACTTCTTTCTAATTGGAATCCCTTTGAAACATCTGTGTCAGCTACTTAATATTTTTAGGCAGTGGTTTTCTAACTATTGAGTTTTGAAATTGAGTGGGTTGTGATGGGTCTTTTTTTAAGGAATAATTTAGAATAACAATATAAATACAAGAGCATGTATAGTAGAGGTAAATACTTGTCATGAAATTATATCTGTATATTAGAGTGTATATATATGTACTGGGTCATGATGTAAAATATATTTCTTATTGCGGGGAGTAATCAGAGGTTTAAAAAGCAGTGTTTATGATGACAAGCAAATTATTTTAGTCCTACCAATAAGAACGTTATACTCTTTTTTTTTTTTTTTTAACCTTATCACAGAGCTGTGGAAATAATGTTAGAGATCTAAGTGTGGGGTGGATTTCTCATTTTACTTTTTACCAGAATGTGGAGAGTAAAGGAATGAGAGATCAACGACTGGATCTTCAGAGAAGAGCTGCAGAAACCAGTGATGATGACCTTATCCCATTTGGAGACCGACCAACTGTATCGCGGTTTGGTGCCATCTCTCGAACCTCCAAAACAATATATCAGGGTGGTGGTCCAATGCAGGCTATGGCACCTCAGGGAGCTCCCACAAAACCTATTAATATTTCAGGTAAGAATTGAAGGTAAGCTCATCTAGTGGGTTCATATTCAAGACTTTCAGCCCCCATCCCTACTCCCCATTTAGTATGAGTGCTTTCCATAATCTTACAAGGCAGTAATCTTTTAAACTTTTCCATGGAATTATCCCTGTAGAAAGGTAATTATAACTCAGGGAATTCTAAGGGTACAAACTAAAATGTCTCTGTGTGAAGATTGCCTGTGTTGGTTTTGTGTTAATAGCTTTGTTGCTTTTATTAAAATAATACATTCTCATTTTAAATAATTGAAATGGGCACCTGGGTGGCTCAGTCGGTTAAGTGTCCGACTCTTGATCTCAGTTCTGGTCTAGATCTCAGGGTTATGAGTTCAAGCCCTACCAAAAAAAAAAAAGAAAGAAACAATCCAAAGACTGTTATCTTTCAGTGGGGAAAAAACAAACATCAGTATCCTCTTTAATTAGTGGACATCTTTCCAGATAGCTGTGTATAAAATAGGCCTGTGCCTTTTAGATTATAGCTACCTTATTTTTTAAAATTTTATTTATTTATTTGAGAGAGAGACTGAGACAGAGATGGTGAGAGAAAGTGGGGGAAAAGAGAGAGAAGCAGGTTCCCTGCCAAGCAGAGAGACCGATGTGGGGCTCGATCCCAGGACCCTGAGATCATGACCTGAGCCGAAGGCAGACTCTCAACCAACTGAACCACACAGGCACCCCAGATTATGGCTACCTTAAAAGAAGAATGAAATCTCTGAATTGCATCATCCCACAGTAAATTATTCTCTTATAGATTATAGTCCATATGGAACCCATGGTGGCTGGGGAGGATCTCCATATTCACCTCATCAAAACATACCTTCTCAGGGACACTTCAGTGAGAGGTATGAGTCATTCTTTTTACTTTTATAAACCTTTAAAATTATTCAGCTTTTCTTATTTTATTTTTCTTGTCAATAATTTTTATTATTTTCATAGTGAAATAACAGATTTTTATGTCAGAACAGTAGTAGATCAAACCTAGGGGGGTTTTTTGTTTTCTTTCAATTTTTTTTTTCAATTGAAGTATAGTTGACACAAAATGTTATATTAGATCAATAATGTTTTTTTTAATAAAACTTAAAATTTATTCCATCCTTTCTTTCCCACCAAAGGGAGAGACTGTCCATATCAGAAGTGGCCAGTCATGGAAAACCCCTTCCGTCTGCTGAGAGGGAACAGCTACGATTGGAATTGCAACAACTAAACCATCAAATCAGCCAACAGACTCAGCTCCGTGGACTAGAGGTACCGCCTACAGATAGTTTTTCATTCCAATTTTTGGAGGGTTCTCAAAGGAGTTTTAAAAGGAAGAACTTCTAAGGTACTATGAACATAAAAACTTAAGGTCTGTTCCTTAAAGAGTTAATATCGGTGTCTGTTCTTCAAAGAATTTAAGTACTTAAGAGTTCAGTGTGGGACAATAGGAAATTCAGAATTTCTATTCTATGGAAAACAGACTATCTAAAATTTTCCCTGATGGCACATTTAAGGTATACAGTTTTTATTAACAAATACTTTTAGCTTAACATTTGTTTTTCATTTTTCATACTGCCTTTCTTAATTAAAAAAAAAAATTCTATTTCCTTTAATTCTTAGCATTTATTTATATATCTTTAAAAGATAGAATCTTAGAACTTAAAAAAGAGTAGGATAAGGAATAATACTTGGAGTTAATGGTCTGAATCTTTAAAAAGTTAATCAATTAACTCTAGACTTCAAAAAAGAATAGACTTCCGAAGAGAATAGCCTCTGTATAGCAGTTGTACCTTTCGTTAATATAGTTCTTTCTGTTTATAAGTTACCATCACAGGTCCTGATTGACCCTTACAATGACCCTGTCAGGTAGGTTAGACAAGTGGTATAGTCCCTCTGTTCTGGTTGAAGGATAGGAGTTTCACAGAAGTTGAAATACAAATCCAAGTCTTCCTACTCCAAATTCAGTGTTCTTTCCACCATGCTGCCTGACAGTTAAAGAGGAAAAATATCTAAAATCAAAGAATTTTTTTTAAAAGATTTTATTTATTTATTTGAGAGAGAGAGAGCGCGCACAAGTGGGGGAAGGGGCAGAGGGAGAAGCAGACTCCCCGCTGAGCAGGGAGCCCAGTGCGGGGCTTGATCCAGGAACCCTGTCGAAGGCAGACGCCCAACCGAGTCACCCAGGTGCACCTGAAAACAAAGAATTTTTAAAAACCTTCAAAGTGCCACATAAAGAAGACTAGGTTTTGTTTACATTACCCTTTACATGGGAGCATATTCTTTGAATTTAGAAATCTGAAGACATTCTACTGATTAATACATGGCTCCCTCCTGGAGAAAAAGATAACTGTCAGAACATTAGTCATTATCTTTCTACCAAGATCTTTGATAAGGAAGGCTTCCCTTTGGAAATAAATTTTTAACTAATTCTATCTTAGATTCCCGTATTACAAAGGCCAATAGGAGATTGTTTTTTTGGAACACATGTCTGACTTATGCTCTTATGTAAGCAATAAGGCTTAGAATTTTTTTTAACTATGTAATATTCATATTTTGTCTTCTTGTGCCATTATTTTATTTACATTGGTCTAGAACTTCTTGCTGATTCCTATTGTAAAAAAAAAAAGCTGTGTCTGATTATGTCCTTCTTTAGTTGATTAACTTTTTCAGGATTCAGACCATTAATTCCAAGTATTATTCCTTAACCTACTAATTCATGGCTTTTTATCTTAGTTGAAATTTGTAGACCCATTTTCTGTTCCAAAAGAATAATCAGCATCATTTGGAAGTTTGCCACATATTTAACTCAGTATGGTTAAAAGTTCTTGCCATTACTGAGGTTTCATTGAAATAAATTGGAGGATTTACTTCAGAAAATTCAATTTAAAAAAGAGGGGGAAAGATGTGCATTTATACTTCTCTTTCAAATAAAGTAAGAGCAATTTATCCGTAAGATTAAATTACTGTTTACTAAGTTTAAATCCCCTAGTTTTTCTTTTTTAATTCAAATGGCATTCAAAGAGACAGTGCCTAATAGTGTCATTTTTATTGCAAATATCTTCATGATAAACTACTTGAGGCGGTGGTCTGAAATTGGGCCTGGTCATTCTGTGCATGGTGTGAAATGTGTTGAGTTGTATATGTGCTTGGCTTTATGCACTAGGCTGTTAGTAACAGGCTGGTGTTGCAGAGGGAGGTGAACACCCTGGCAGGCCAGTCACAGCCCCCACCACCACCTCCAAAATGGCCTGGAATGATTTCAAGTGAGCAGTTGAGCTTGGAACTGCACCAGGTGGAAAGGGAAATCGGGAAGAGAACCCGGGAACTGAGTATGGTGAGTGTTCTGGTGGGAAAGGGTGGGAGCTGGGAGAGGTGAAAGGAAAGCTGTGCAGTGATGTCCCAGAACTCATGGTTTTAGAGCTCTACAATCATCATCCCAAGGCACTCCAGTGAGTGGTTAGTACTTAGAATAAGTCTCATGAAAATGGGCCATCTCCCTATTTTATTCATTCCTCCTCTCATTCCTTTTTGGTTTGAGTGTGTTCTCTGTCTTAGGATTCTGCATTATGAAAAACTTCAGGGAAAACAAGGCAGTTAATTGGACATTATTAAATTACTGTTTAATATACTGATTAGGGAAGCTGAGGGGATGGTGTTTATGATTTTGCAAATGTGTTCACAAATAGCATTCTAGTTTTTATAGCCCTTTAGTTATTGAAGACCTGTTTTTTGTTATGAGTGAAATGCAATCTACACATTCCTTCTTGAGGAATTGGTATGCTTAGGGTTTGCTTCATAGTACATGAATACTGGTTTTAGTAAATTGTGGATTTTGGGGGATTGAACCATTCCCCCAGGTTGCATGGTAATTGACTCTTTTGTTGAATAGTTTTCACGTTCTTTCTAAGCAAATAAATGGGGTATTTCATTTTTCTGCTTTCAATAAGTGTATTATAGGTAGTTATTATATTTTGGCTTACCTTTTCTAAGTCATCAGTTTTTCTAACTTGGGGCATTCTCCCCCTTGTTTTCTAGCTTGGATAGTGAGCAAGTGTACTCTGTTGTTATCATCGTGTATGTCTCTCTTTTAGGCTGGCCATTTCTTTGGTCATTTTATAAAACTATATATGATATATGAATTATCAATTTGTATTATCTGTATTTGGTCTCTCTTTCATTAGCACCATTAAATAGAAGACAATTGAATTTACTTCCTTCTCTTTCAAAGGAGAACCAGTGTTCTCTGGACATGAAAAGCAAATTGAATACAAGCAAGCAAGCCGAAAACGGACAACCAGAACCACAAAATAAGGTTCCAGCTGAGGACCTTACATTGACATTCAGGTAAAGGAAGGGACGTTGTCATAGTCTTATATTATCCAGTCCTGACAGAAGTGCCCTCATAAATATGATTTGCTTTTAAAAATATCATTCTGTATACATTGAGAAAAGAATATTTTCACATAAATTTAGTTAATAAAACTTAATTTTAGAACAGATTCAAGAATGAATTGTCTGTTAATACCTAACAAATGAATTTTTCTGGCTCCATTTCTTCTTTCCCGTTTTTTAGTTTATTTAAAACCAGTGTTAACATTTTGGTGTAGACCTTTCCAGTCCTTTAAAGTGTGTGGATATTTAGCCTCTTTCAAATCCACCTTCCACCCCATCCCCTTGGTTTTTAATTTGGTCTATCCCATATCATCTAGAGGTGGAAGGATACATGTCAGCTATCATTGAACAACCATGCAATAAACAGATTTGTAATAATTCTTTATTTGCACAGCTGTAATTATTTGCTTATGGTATTTTGAAGTCATTTGCTGCAAAGTCCTGAGTTACCTTCCTGATGATTGTATAACAATAATTTCTAATGCCCTGTTGCTTTCAGACTTAGGTTTTAGCTATTTAAATCCATACACTGTCCTGGGTTCAAAATAATTTCTTGTACTAGTAAGCCTGCTAAAGCAGGGGTCAGAACTTCTTAAAGTCCAGATAGTAAGTATTTAAAATTATGGGTCTTATAGTCTCTGTGGAAACTCTCAGTTCTGCCCTTGTAGTGTGAAAGCAGCCATAGACAATACATAAACAAATGGGCAAGCTGTGTTTCGGTAAAACTAATAAAAACAGGCACTGCTTAGCCTTAGTTTGCCAACCCCTGTGCTTAAAGCATGGACATCGAGCTGTAAACTAAACTTTAAAAGCTTCTTGCATATTTTTCCATACTCGTAAAAGAAGCCCTATTGATTTTATTCTACTAATCATTTTTCTCTCTCTCCTTATTTAAAATTCCAACTTTTTTTTAAATGTTAACAGTGATGTACCAAATGGCTCAGCGTTGACACAAGAGAATATCAGCCTCCTGTCAAACAAGACCAGCTCTCTGAACCTGTCAGAGGACCCCGAGGGAGGAGGTGACAACAATGACTCCCAGAGAGCGGGAGTCACACCCACTTCTGCTCCCTAAATTATGAAGAGTCCAACTTTTATCTTTTGCTCCTGATCAATTTGTGGGGCATAGGGGTAGGAGAACAGATAACTTCTAAACTTTTTCTCTGAGAGTGGTCAGAGATATCCAGGAAAAGTACCGGAGGCAATGTGCACAAACACCACTACTAAAAACAAACCCTGCACATAGTTCACATTAATGCATTTTTTAATTTAAAAAAAAGGAAAAAGAAAAAGAAAATTAGCAGTATCTGCAAGCAATTCAGATTAAATTTGTTTTTGTTCTGTGAATGAACTTTATTTTAATAACTTTGGACGCCTTGGATCCAGGGCTTTAAAAAAAAAAGAAGATATTATATATACACTCTGTTTGATTAATTGTATGATCTTAATGAAGTAGGTTTTTCTTGTATTTTGGTATTATTACATACCCAGTGTATAATTCCTTTCCCCCAATCCTTTCCAACTTTCGCAAACCCCATAAATTAAAACAGACAGAAAGCACCGGACTGTCTTGAGAATTCTGTGGTGCTTGAGAAACAAAGACAGTACTAGACTAGTTATTAGAAAATGTGCAGCACACCAACTTTTCTAAGAGCTATTACTTAAAAGTCATAATTTTCTTTCCCTTTCTGGTAACTGGCTTCATGTGTATGTTTTTCATATGGCACTAAAACTTCTTGTTGTTCAGGAGGGATTTGTTTCTTGTTTTTGTTTTTATTTCAGCTATTTCAGAGAGATAATTACCAGTTAATTTTTTGAAGTCCTCATTTCCGTATTATGGATCTATTTCATTCTCTTAATGTAATCAGAAAGCCAGACCAATACTGTAGGCTGTTTGATTAGATTTAAATGGAGATTATTTTAAGAATGAACTGTGATTTATTAGTACTGAAAATACATGGTTGGTATATTACCTGTACTGAGCTGATGGTTGGAAATTTGGAGCTGTGCTTTTTCAAATTAAACTTTGGCTAAAATCATAAAATGTATTAAAAAAAAAAAACAGGAAAATCAACCATGTTTTAAAACTGCAACACTTGACTTGAAGTGAAAATGAACAGTCATATTATTTCAGTGGATGTTTTTGTTTTGTTTTACTGTCAAAACCCAAAAGTATAAAACAAAATGAAAGCCCCTGGCTTTCAAATAGATTTGGCAAATACAGACTGCCCAGATCTTAAGGATAGTTTATGAATTGTAGTTTATGAATTGACTAGTTGTTCAGAATCATTGGCACCAGTAGGTAGTAAGTACCTAAAAGTCAGTTTTCATAGACTTGACTTTACAATAGTGAAGAGATTCTTCATGAAAATGTTGAAAAGAATAAGGAAGAATTTTTTTTAATTTAGTTCTGCTGCACATATTCTGATGCCATGTGTCTATACTGAACTAAGACCTTATAAAACGTTTTTAGTGGGGATTATTTGATATAGTCACCTTCCCATCCCTCTGTTTGCCTGATTTTTAAGAAATTTCCCTTTCTGGATTATACTACTAAAACAGAAAGCACTGGTTATGTAATAAGTTACTGCATTGCTTTGGTTGGGTAAAAGCAAGAGTTTGTATTTTTCTTGTTTCTTATTTTCTTAACCCTTAACTCCTGCTGAGGTCATAACAACCTCAGTGTAAGCTCTGTGTCCATCATACTGTTAACTGAAACAAATGGGGGGAGGGGGGAGGGAAATACAGTCCTGCCATTGCCTACCAGTAGGAGAGTCCAAACAGAACACTCTTTTGAGTAGCGATTATTTAATTTGCCCAGTCAAGGCACCGTGTTTATATACTATTTCACATTGAATTTGATTATGCCCTACAGACCTGGCTGGTCAAGGATTTGATATACACATATTGGCTTGGGATTCGAGCTTTCTTTTTTATTTAAATAAAAATTTATATATATTATATATATATACATATATACATAGCTATATCTGTATATATATTGGGTATGTTTTAAGGATTTTTTCGCATGAGCGCAGCTGTTGCGATAAAATGACTGATTGGGAGGTAGAAGCACTGAATGGAAGATGAGGCATTTTTTCAGTTGATACCATATTTTCCTTTCCTAAAAATACACACTTGCTTTTTTTGCTTTTTTGTTTGTTTTCTTTTTTGCTTAAACCCCTCTTATATGTAAGTGCTTATTGTTTTTTGGGAGAAGGAGAGAAACTTTGTATGTCTGACAGAGTCCCAAGATTTTTTATTTTTTTGTATAACTATAAAAGGCAACATTCTTGGCCTCCAACTTTCTGTAGGCAGATTTGGGCAGATCTTATTTCTCCTTTGGACATACTAGATAACTCCTAAATTTTAGAAGCAGTTGGTTCAATTTGGAACTCAGAATGATTCTGGTATTGGAAGGGAATTTATGGGTATTAATTTTGTTGAAGTTTAGAATAAAAGTAAAATTCTATTTTGGATATCCATTGAAACATCTAATAAGTCAACTTCTGTTATTCTTGTTTATATATCCTCCAAATACACTCCTTGCTTTCACCATTTAGATTTTGTAAGCTAGGCAGGAATAGATGTTAACTTATATAGTATTCCTATTCTGAATAAAACCAGAAAAGCCACTGTTTTGAATTGACTTAAAATAATCCTTTTTACTTTTTAAGTTAATTTCATTGGGGATGGGGGTAGGGACAGATCTCTTAAATTGTAGCCTTAATTCTAGCTGTACTTCAGTGAGGCCCCACATACTCTAGAGGAAATCTGGTTGGGTAGAAAGGCAGAAGAATGATATCCTATCCCATTGTGCCTATAACTTACCTATTTTAAATTAGTCATTCTGCCTTATCTCATGGAAATTCTTACAACTTTCCTAGTAGTCATAAGCAGTTTTAGGAATTAAATAAAACCTCCAAAGTTTGGATTTTTTTTCCCCCCTTTTCTCTGTGATACACTTTGTGAAATGATGAACCTATAAGGGTAAGTGGCCTTTTTGGGCAAAACTGCTTGACTCCTTTTTTTTTTTTTTTTTAACTGCTTGACTATTCAGCTGCTTTTTTTTTTGTCAAAACCTGTGAAAGGCATTGATTTTTTTTTTGGCTTTTAAAATGTATGCCTTTAGAGACAGTTAAGAGATTAAATCATTCAGATAGGAAATACAGTTTTTATGCTTTCTACTTAGTAAGTAAAATATTAATTTCTTCTGGAGATGACTTTATTTGCTTTTCACTGAATTCAGAAGCAAGACTGACATCACAGATGAACATGAGCAATTCTGAGAGGGTTAAGGTAGGAGTATAATAAGCATTGTGTTCACTCTTGTTTAGATAACAAAACCAGAATCTTATTATAGTTAGGAATATAAAAGTACTTTGACTTACTTTTTTCCAAGGTATCTCTGGAAAAGAGTAGAAGAACTGAGAATAAGATATCTACACGCAGTTTCCTAACATACATAGTTCTTTCGCCTTATAGATACTGTCACAAGATAAGTCCAATAGCTGTCCTGTCTTGGGTGATTTACAGAAGCTAAAGTGACCAAAGATCCATTCCTTTTTACTTTTGTAATCAAAAGAACAATTAGTTATAACACAGGTTTCTAGTAATAGTATTCACAAGATAAGACACATTTCTAATGCCAGCTACAGATATCCAAATACTCAGAATGCATAAAAAATTATTTGGTATGGCATTAATGTGGCTGATTCCCTTCTCTCAGCTTATTTCCCTTCCCTTCTCCTAGACTTTCCCGTGTATTCTTTTGCCTAAAAGACATAAAGTTGGTATGATTCTTATTTGCTACCATGAATATGTAACTCCATCATACTTTCCATAGGTCTTCAGGGTTAGAACTCAAAGTTTTTTTTCCTGGCCCTTTTCTATCTTGCAAATTCCCCTTGACTTACCCACTGCCCTCCCCAATCTGCAACAGTGACAGTTTGCTGCCTCAAAACAGAGCATTCAAATGAATTCGCTTAGCCAATAACTTCTGTGAAGTTGCCTTTTCTAATGGTGTTATTACTCAGTGATGCACAAATGTGGTATTTGCCCTACTGGTAGGCAAACAAAGGTCTGGTTAAGAATGGTAACCTGCTGTTTTCTTTAAAGGAGAGCCAAAGACTTGTGCTTTACTCTGTTTTGGTTTTGGGGGAAATAGCCATTTTGATTGTGAAACCTTTTAGTATTTGTGAGTTGACTGTATTGTGTAAGTAGATTTATCTGAAGTTAACTGTTAACAGTAGCTGGCCTTATAAAATGTAAAAGTAATGAAAATTCACCAGTTTCTCTAAACCAGTGAATGCCATCTTTTACAATATTGTGTGTAAGCAGTACCCCCGTTTTTTGAGATTATCTTGTCAATGATAGCATCTTGTGTGTTTTGGTTTTTAACTTGTGCTGAAGGACAATCTATATCACTATGGTCAAGCTATGAGACCGGGTAAAAGAATTCATGACCATGTGACTGGTGAGAAATAAACTATAGTCACTGCATGTAAGATTATATTCAGATTTGGAGAAAAACAGATTCTTTTCACTAAAAAGTATTTGATTGCTTTTAAATACACATGGTGATGGGTGGAGGTCTTACCATCTTTTTTCCACTTCGTTTTTGCTCATTTTAAAGAACTGAGTAAAGGTTTCGTAATATAAAATCTACCTGTAAAAAGCACCTGTAATGATAGTTATTTTATTAAAAAGGAAAGACCCAGTTACTTTTTAGGAAAAATTAATAACCTGCCTGGAAATTAACTGCAGCATTTACTTAGATTTGTCCCCTAAAAGAGCCTGATTGTGTTTATTTTTTAGTTGGTGATACCTGGTGATAGTGTTGCAAGATGATCTCTTCCCTGAAAAATCAGCCTGTCCTTTTAGAAAAAAAATAGAGCAACTAAACTAAAGCAGATTTCACTTTCAACATTAGGGACTGAACAAGCAAACAGTTTACTGCTGTCATCATTTTACTCATTTTGCTGGTCCTCATTCATACCTTTCTACCTTGGACAGCTATGATTTTTGTATTTATTTGTTGCTTCAGCTCAGCTTTATGAAATTTTCCTGCTGAAAGGACTTATTGGGAGTTGTAGGTGGATTGAAGTTAATATTTTATTAAATTCTTAATTTAACTTTTCTGAGCCATTTGAAAAAGAAAGCTGTTTTTGTCAAAAGGTACTGTTAATTACAGTAAATACCAACTTAAGATTTGGTTTTTAAGGTTTGATTGCTTTGACTGCTAAAGATGTTTTCATATATAACAGATTCTAATTGAAAAGTAATACTAGCTATGATGTTAATAAATAATAGGACACTGCCACCACCAGGAAAAAGTAACACCTTTTAATAGTAAATGTGTTCCCAATAGGTGGGTTTTCAATACTGCACTGAACAAAGTGGGAAGAGTCCTTTGAAATCCTATTGTGATAAAGGGACTTAACCTCACCACTGGAATCCTTGTTTTCAGAGCCTCTGAATTTTCAGCCAAACACTGAATTTACTTTAAATTTTATTCCTGAACAAAACATCCCTAGAGTAATAACCTTTATTTTCACAAGAAAATAAGGCACAATAACCCAAGAGAGAGAAGTTAAACCTCAAGATAATATTGTGTCCAAAAGTGTGTATTTAGGAAAGTTAAATCCTGTGGAATTAGTATATTATATACTAGATAAGGTGACTTATTTTCTTGTACTGAGGTCTCTCTGTTTCTGGTTGTTTTTGTTTTGTTTTGTTTTGTTTTGTTGTTTTTAACTCTTGAGTAGACAGAGCTCACAAGTCTTTGGCATCCATTTTAGGTTGTACACTCAGAGTCATCTTATAACTGGAAACTGTCAGACAGCCCTTACCCCCACCCCAGCCAGCACATAAAAGGGTCAAGAAAAGGATGGAAAGAAACTACTGGATAATTGGTTGCCTGGTTGTTGTTGGGTTTTGGTTTGGGGGTGTGTGTGGGGAGGGGGGGTTGCCTGGTTTTTTTTTTTTTAAATCACCATTTATAGTGTAATCATTGATTGGCTGCCATTCTTAAAATAATATCTAAACAACCCTGTAAAATATTCCTCTGATTTAAAGGTATTTTAAGCTTTTGTTTATCATTTTTACATCCTCTGTTCAACGAAGGCACTGTCCTGAGAGCTACTTTTTCCAGGTGTATTGTTGCCCACATTTTCATTAACCACACCCCACATCCCAGCCCCCTTCATGCTTTCTCTTCTCACCTTCTGGAAATGAAAGGAACTTGGGGGGAATTTTTTTTTTCCATTTTATTCACTGATCCAGAGGCCTTGTTGTCTTACTTTATGATGATACTACAACTTTTTGGAACAAGAGCAATGGAAAAAGTGAATTAAGATGATGAACAAAATCTTTTACCCACTGAAGCATTTTCCAGTTGTGAGATTCCTCTGTGTGTGGTCTCTTCCCTTATTACCCCTGCTACCCTTTTCCCCTGACCTTGGTCAATTTGGTCTTTAGGCTCATACCAGTCTCCCCGAGACATTCTGCAGTCATTATCACCTTTTTGGGTGGATTTTATTTTGTTTTATTTTGGGTTTTTTTGTTTTTTGTTTTTTTTTAAAAAAACTTTTTAACATTGATGCATATTTGCTTGGGATAGAGCTTGTGTAATTTACCAATCGTATTGATTGTATGTGATTGTGCCCTGCAGAGGTATATTTAACAAGACAAAAATAATTTAGGTTAATAAAGGAGCCTATGAGATTTGAGTCAGGTTATAAATTCGTGAAATCACTTAGTTTTGGATAGTGAGAATTTATATCTCCTATTCTTATAAATCAGTGCTAGACAAAATACCATTTTTAAGAAGTTCTCTTGCATTCCTATTTTTTTCCTTGCCTCAGCTCCCTGTTTTTTCTTAAGCGTGTCTCCACCCACCTGTTCAGAAATAAAAATATTGAGTCTTAAAGTGACAGCTGATTTTTAAATTGCTAAAGTTTGTGAAATTATACTTTTTCCAAGTGTTTTCAACTTTTTTTTTTTTAAATGAAGACAAATGGTTGAAATTTCACAAGCTGTGAATAATTCTTTAGATTCTGGCCAACTGTGAAATCTTATTTGAAGACTTTATCTCTTGAAAGTTCTTTTGGAATAGGAAAAAGAACCCTGTTTGAAATGGACCATTTTCTTCTCTTTTTAATGTGTTTATATATCCAATTTTTAAACAGCCTTCAAAACAAGCGAGGTGGAAATAAAGAGTAATAGGAAGATGTTTAGGGCAGCAGAATTCTGGGTCTGAATAAGTACATGTTATACTTGTCAGGTTTTTAAAAGGATTAACGCCATCTTTTTCAATTTTGTATTATTTGTGTGCATGTTGTTTATATCAAAGATGCCACATTTTGTTAAAATCCTATTTCCTTTCTTTATTACCTTGGAAACTGACTCAGCCTCATGTTGCTCCTAACTAGTGTTTAAAGCTCCCAAGAGTTGCAGATAAAAGGGTTATTTTAACAAGTAGAAGGAGGTGATTCACCTTTCGGTTTGTAAATATCTGGTCTTTATCTGCTTTCTGTCAGCATTTATATTAAATGATAAATTAATGAGGAGAAACGTGTAGTCTTTTTCTATAAATGAGTCTGTGCCATTTTACTCTAACCTTGGGATTATTACACCTTTCCTTTTTTTATGTGAAAAATAGAGAATTAGATACTTATGCACAAGTAAACACATACTTGAAGTAGCCAATTTTGTAGAGATATCATAGGAATTACTCTAACCTTAAATACACTACAGTCCAAATTCCTTCATATGTTCTACAGCGATTGCACAGTAAAGGTAGTGGTTCTGAGATCCTAGGGTCTGTTCAGTGAAACTCCATGGCAGACATCCAGAGTTCTGGTTCTTATGGCTTCTCTTAAATCAGGACCTTCTTGGGCGCCTGGGTGGCTCAGTTGGTTAAGCGACTGCCTTCGGCTCAGGTCATGATCCTGGAGTCCCTGGATCGAGTCCCGCATCGGGCTCCCTGCTCGGCGGGGGGTCTGCTTCTCCTCCCTCTGACCCTCCTCCCTCTCCTGCTCTCTGTCTCTCATTCTCTCTTTCTCAAATAAATAAATAAAATCTTTAAAAAAAAAAATCAGGACCTTCTTTATGTTTAAGCAACATGGACCACCTGTGGGTATCTTCCTGATGCAAATATTTTTGTCTTTCCATTCTTACTGACTTCTAATTGTCCTGAAATCTCCACCCATTAGTCATTCCTTGTAGTTAGAGGATAAGTGTAGGTTGATTTTCTCTTAGAGACTGGTATAAAATATGCCTTAGTCAGCAGTTCAATGGCATGAAGAAGAAAAAAGGGGAGAGGAAGGCACTGCTCTAGATTCAGAAGAAAGTTAAGAGAAAAAAACAAATGTAACATGTGGAGTTTATTTGGATCCTGATTCCAATGAATCAAATGTGCAAAGACATTTTTGAAATAATTAGGGAAATTGAGTACTAGGTAAGACCAAGGAATGACCTTTCTGTTCAGTGTAATAATAGCAACATGTTTACATAAGTAAATGTCTATATTTTTAAGAGACATAGAGCTGACAATGGCTAGCATTTCCTTTATTTTTACAGAAAAGTAATGCAATAAACAGTGAAGGTTATTTTACCTCCTACCAACAATTAGCAATTAGGTGTCTTTGTTTGGTATCCTTACCTGACCTCAAGGGAAGGAACCAGAGTAAAAGGTCAGAGGGTCTGAAGGATGGTAACTACTGCAACCACTCTTGAATGTTAGAAAGTCTAGAGTGAGGATTCCAAAACCAGCGTGCCATCTTTACTACCATCCTAGGCCTACCCTGCTCACAAGCAGTAGGGTAGTTTCTGACCTTTACACTCAGACTCACATAGATTAATGTGAGTTTGTTTTTTGTGTATATTAGCATTTCATTCCCAGTAACCAGCTAATCTGCAATGATCAACTAATAAATCCCCTCCACTTTCCAACATTGGTGGCCTGTTTAGTTAATGGTTGCCACCCTTATTTGGGACACCTTGCAAATCAAAAGTGAGCTTTCAACTACTCACTGAACACCCACTTTGGTATTTACTGAATTATTGAGTCCTTAATCATGTACCACACTGTAGAAGATAAAGAGAATACAGTCTTTATCTTCAAGGAGCTTAGGCTCCAGTTATGGAAATTGACATGAATACAGTTTTAAAATAGGTAACGGGCACCTGGGTGGCTCAGTCAGTTGGGTGTCTGCCCTCGGCTCAGGTCGTGGTTGTGGGGTCCTGGGATCGAGCCCCTCATCGGGCTCCCTGTAGGGAGCCTGCTTCTCCCTCTCCCACCCCACTCGTGCTGTCTCGCTATCTCTGTCTCTCTCAAAATCTTAAAAAAAAAAGTTAAAAAAATAGGTAACAATCATCAACAAAACACAATAGAATTACCAAAAAATTATGCAGCCACAATTGTCTTCAAAAGAGAACAGCCAGGAGCCGTGAGAATGTACACAAAGAAGACTTCACCTTGCTTGGCTGAGCAGCAATGGCTTTCCCGAGGAAGTTGCAACGAAGGTGGCACTTGAAGAATGGACAGGATGGCAGGTAACGTTGGAGACGAGACTGTTAGAGAAAATAGAATATGTTTCTATGGAATATGATTCTTGGGAAAGAAGAATCTGTGTTACAGAAACAGCGGTTGAGGCAAGAGTAGAGGGAATGAGACTGTGGCAAGAGATGAGGCAGAGCTGGATCACAGAGGCCTGCAGGTGATGCTAAAGGATTTGGATTTTATTCTGGAAGTAAAGGGAATACAAGGGAAGGTTGCAAGCTGGCAGTGAAGGGATCTGATTGGTGCCTCTCTATTCACATTTACTGGAGAGCTTCTGGTGCCCACCTGGTGCTCTTGTTAAAGTGCGTTTACTGTTGCAGCAGGCCTGGGGGGGGGGGGCCTGGGATTATCTAACATGCTCCCAGCTGATGCCCGTCCTGTTTGGCCAAAGGCCACCCTTGTGAGTAGTAAAGCAATTGGAGAAGCAGAAAGATCCAGTTTCTGCCATCATCAGACTTTTATGAATTGAATGAGATGCAAGACGCAGCATTACCTGGAGACTACTTCAAGGAAAATGCATAGAGCTGGGGAAGCAAGGTGATTCAGGGAGGTTTTTACTTCTGAAGAGTTGATTCATAAAGGTATGAAAGGGTTTATAAGATGATCAAGGTGGAGAGTAGACACTCCAAGCCTGGGAGCGCATACACAATCATGAAAGAATGTCGCTTTGTAATGAACTTCAAGGAGTTGAGGACAGCTAGAAAAGTTTGGAGGCCAGGCCTTGGAAAGCTTTGTGTACAGTTCTGAGTCGTTTGACTTTTATCTTTTAGCAGTTAAAATCAGTAAAGATTTTAAGCCAGAGTGAGATGTGATTATCGTAACTTGAAGTGGAATAGGGTCTGAGGCGGAAAACCCAGTTATGAATCTGTTGCAGTAGACATCCAAGCAATAATGAGGGCTGGCCAGCGGAAGAGTGGGAGTGAAGAGGAGGGAAGAATGTCCAAGACTGTGTGTAACGGGGCCACAACTTGACAACAGACGGTACAAGCATGATTGGCATTACTAACCACCCAAACAGGTGCCACCAAAGTCAGCTGCTTCCCATGGTCCCCTTCACCAAGCACTCGGTCTATTACTAAATCATCAGGTTAAAGGGAAAAAATGACCTTTGCAATATCGAAGCTCTTTTGAAAATACTCAGTTTCAAGGAAAACCTACAGTCACCTCAGCTTATCATCTTCCTCAAGTCTAAAAAGTTCAGGCTATTACGATCTAAACTACGGGGCCCTCTGATTTTCCTCAGTCCCTAAGCTTGTCCTTCTCATCTAACTGATTGGGCCTTTTGTTATCCTGACAAGCTAGGGAAACTGACCCGACCTAGGAATCCTGGACCTTGGGCAAGACCCAGGCTGCCTCTGCAGAGTGGGCCGGCCCATTTCTCTCACTGAGCAGCTTGAGGGTTTTGCCTTCAGCACCATTCCCTGCGTAGCTGACCTTCGGTAAGCGAACAAAATGTGATACCTGAAGCTCGTTTCTGTTCAAAGTTGGAACAACCTATTCCCAAGCAGCGTCTGTTGGTTTTCAGCCCTGGCCATCTGGAAAGGGCCCGAAACCAACCCTGTGTCCTGACGGGATAAAAGCTACCAGGCCACATTCATTCCTAGATCCTCCTTTCTACCTCCCCCCTCAAATGGATTTGGACAGATTTGCTAAAGCAGCCCTCCCTCAGCGGCGGTGGGTGAGAGACACCAGTCACGTGGTTGACCCGTACTCACCAAACACACACCCTCGGCCTTGGCTTCACTAGTTTCCTGTTGCTTCTGGGTTTGTCCAAGCCATCCCCTCTTTCTCCAGATAACTCTCCCCCCGTGCCTCTGCCTCTGCTCTCTGTCTTCTCCCCTTCTCGTTGTCTCTTTAACCACCTACAACTTCCTGGACTAAAGTAGGACAGCAAGCTTTGACTCCATGCAACGTTCTCCTGCTCAACCTCCCGAGAATACCCTCGCCCAGTACTTCTGTTCATACAAGGTGTCAGTCCCTCTGGACAAGTAAGCATTTTTAATAATCTCAACTTTCCATTTAGGAGGAATTTAAAGTATTTTTCTGTTAATAAGTCGGCAAAACTACTCCAAACCTGGGTTTCTTCAAACACAAATATTTATTGAGTACCTGGTACATGGAAAGCCATGTGCACTGGGCATGTTCAATAAATATTTGTGGCTTTGATTTGGTGTCCCTGAAACTAAAGCTGGACTTTCTAACCTGTGTGAGAATTTGAACAAATTCCAGTGAGATGCTTTGAGAATCTTACCTAAAAGCTGCCAAGTAATAATGCAGGATTATTTTGATAAACTTTATTTCACCTCAATTAAAATAGCATAACTACCTAGTAAACTAGAAACCCAGGAGAGCTGGAGATGGCTCTGGTTTTTGTGCCAGATATTTTGCCAAATTTCCATGAAGAGTTAGGCTTTGAGTTACTCAGTAACCAGCATGCTGCAGGAGCTCAGCTCTACTGTTTGTACTCCGCCAAGGTCTTCTTCTTGGTGCCAAAGAAAAGAATGGAACAGGCCAGGACATGAGGGAATGAAGAGTAAGGATCAGCTGAATTACCTGCTCAGGAGCTGCTACTGAGACTAGAGGCCGAGTAGGGAAAGAGGAATTTTTTAACTTTATTACTCAACTTGAAGGAAATATTTTTTAAAAGAGAGGGTGGGGCGCCTGGGTGGCTCAGTTGGGTTAAGCATCTGACTTGATTTCAGCTCAGCTCTTGATCTCGAGTTCCTGGGATCGAGCCCCGCATCAGACTCCACACCCTGCGGGGAGTCTGCTTCTCTCCCTCTCCCTCCACCCCCCCCCAATTTGCATACACATGCTCTCTCTCAAATTTTAAACCAATAAATAATTTAAAAAAAGAGGTGACTGAATGCTATATTCTTTCTTCTCTGTGGCCCCCCAAACCTACCCCTAACAGCAGAGCACAGAGGACCCCTGTTTTCTTCCAACCTTGTTTCCACTCAGAGAAAAATAGAGTCTGCCCCCAATTCCAGAAATGGTCAGACATTA